CACTGCAGTCACTTTATATATATATGATATAAGCTGGCCTATTAGATGCTAGTATATGTATATATAGACAATTTTGTGGGTCAAACACGTTTTGCAGTAATTCACAGCATGGGTGTGTACTTACTGTATCCAAAGTTCTGTCAGTGATATTGTAGAAAATACCGGTATTTGTAATTATAACCATGTCTAGTTGTAATTGACCAATCAGATTGCTCAATTTTAGGTTCATAAATAACTTACCTACCAACAAGTTTCCCAGCCTGCCGGGAGGTTGAATAAGATACCTCCACCTCCACCATGCCTAGTTGCAACTGACCAATCAGAATGCAGAATACCAGGTTTCTAAATCTATTAGATACCTCTCGGGAACACTTAGAAACCTGGCGCTCTACGCTTATGGTCTTATTAGTCCATTTGTCAAGCTGGGTTGATTCTTTACTGACTAGCCTGTTAGATATGTTGTATGTATGTCAACTGTGGTCTTATTATCAACAGGCTCACAACAGCTGGTAGTTTTACAAAAGTCATGGTAGAAGTATAGGTTATACACCTCGGTATCAGTTTTTATGGCATTTATTAACCTCGCTCAGTTAATAAATGCCACAGAAACCTCTACCTCGGTGTATAACCTGTATATAGTTATACTAGCACAACATTGGCACCAAAGGAGAATTTATCATTTCATTGAATTGAACATGCACAAGTAGAAATTATGACAAAAATATTGACTGACAAGCGTTATTTTGTGGGTGAGAATCTTACTATTTTGTTGATAATACAGGCAATGGCAAAGCTTGCCAAGTTTTATGAAGAAACGTGAGATAGGGGATAGTGGCAAGACATGGCACAAGGAAATAGTGTGTCTGCCACCATCTTACCGTGATGAGAATATGAAAATCCCAATAGGCAGTAGTCGAGATCATTTGTTCAGTTTGGGTCTCATTCAAAAGATTAGCCTTCATTGTGCAATGACTGACGATGATGTAAGGAGGTGGACCTATGAAAAATGATCTTCAATTTCCATTTACTTACCTTCAAGGTACAGATATGCTACCTTTTTTTGTAAGATAATGTGTTGTGATAATATTTTTGTCAATTTGGCAACTTGAGGCCTGTTTGCCAAATTTTAATCATCATAATATATACAACCTACTGGAGCGAAACGATTTACCAAAGTTTATCTATCCAAATAATCTAGCTACTTGTATTTGATTAGGTGGTGGATCCAAGTCATTGACTATTCCCTATGTACCACGCAATTGGTCGTGGACAACACAGCTGGTTGCATTTTTAGCTGGCCAAGGGTCTATCTATATTGTGGCTGATAAGGAACTAAAACTGCCAGTAAGTCGAACTTACAAGTGTTTTTTTCCGATGAGTTTCACATACCTTTCGTAGTTCTCATTAGTTTCATGCTCAAGTTTTTGTTCTAGCTGTTGCATGCCACCTACCATTATCAATGATGTGATATGATTTTTAATAATTATATATTTTTAGACAATATTTTATCACGCATGTGTAACTGGGTAAGGTGCTTGAACTATGTTTCTTGAGTCTCAGGTTTTTTGTAAAATTAAAACCTGGCTTTTATCTCTCTCTGCCTTAAAGTGTGCCTTGTTCCCATTAATATTGCTCTCTCCTACATCCTTTTCTTACAATGATGGGTAATCTTTTTCATTTAATGTTCTAGACCTTGTTACAATTGTCTGTTCTTCACCTAAGGCCAATATGCATGAAAGTAGTGTATTGGCTGGGGCTGATCCACAATTTTGGAAATGGGAGGTGGGGGGATAAAATGGCGCACAAAGCACGCTGTGATTTTGGTCACGCCTTCTTTTTGGCGCTATTTGGTGGTTAAAATCATGTGAAAATCAACTTTTCCACCATTTTTGGAGCTCTTTGTTTATTATATTCATTAACCACAGTAATGTTGCTATATAAACTAGGTGGTTAGCACTTCTACCACTGTTGCAACAATAAAAACATTGAAAATTTTTGGAGTTAGAATGTTTTGGGGGTTGCAACCCCACAAACCCCCCCCCCCTAGATCCGCTCCTGATTGGGTCATTGTTCTCTTAGTTAGTGTGTACATCATGTAGCACTGGGTTGTGATTGAAGTCAGCGCTCCGCTTATAAATTGTTTATAGGATGAGGATGCTATTGATGCTGATGTGCCTCTTGCTAATGACTCTTTCAAGAAACAAGCTTTGGATAAGCCTGTATCAAGCTATGAGTAAGTTATAGATATTGCACTGTATAATGATGAGATGATGACAATAGGGCTTATTGTAATATTATTTGTCAGTCTTCAGAAGAAAGTGATGAAGCTCCATCGCCCAAGCGGATTAATCCTGAGTAATACATAATTATTATTATCTTTTGTTTATTTAATTTTCTTACAGCGCTCCTCCAATAGTACAGACAGATGAAGGTGTTGCTAAACTTTTACTGCAAGGGCATCAAGAACTGACATGCATATTAGATCCTGGAAAGCTTTAATCTATGCTACTATTAGATGAAATCACATTCTCAGACGTCATTTCTCAATTTAAGCCCGTGGCATTTGATCCAATTTTTCCTTTTGTTGTTAATTTTGCTGATGAGCCAGGAATGGATTCTGGTGGTCCTATTAGGGAATTATTTTGTCTTTTCAAGCACAGTTTGCAGCAACAGCCACACCTCTTTGTTAGCACCGATGTTGGATTAGTACCGCTGCATAATGTTTTAGCTGTAATCAACGGAGATTTCGAGGCAGCCGGGAAAGTTTTGGCAACCAGCTGCTTGTTTGAAGGTCCAATTCTTCAGTGTTTTTGCGTTTTGTAGCAGAACTTATTGTTTGTGACAGAGTGCAATCTACGCCTGATGTTGAATGTATTACTGACCATGAAGTCAAGGGGAAGATTTTAAAGGTCTTTTCTTTATCTATCTCCTAATTATTTTGCACAATTTTTATAGATATCTTCAGCCAACTCAGATGAATTTCAGCAGCTTGTCACAAGTGAAGACTATAGTTTTCAGTATGAATGTGGCTTCAAAGAAGTCATCAAGTTCTCAAACAAGAGGGAGTTTGTGAATTGTGTATTAATGCACTATGCTCTTTTCAACATACACTCAAAGCTTACCTCTTTGAGAAAAGGTTTTATAAAGACATTGGATTTTGAAAGTTTGCTGAAGCTAATCCTGAGATATTGCTAGGTATATGTTTCACTAGAACAGCAAGTCACTGCTATTACGACATTATTTTTTAGGTATACTTTGTTTTCAACCCAACAAGATTACTGCTTCTGCATTCATTGAGCTCCTTAGTCCTACCTATTGTCCAATCGATAGAGCTCAACAAGAGTGGGCAATGACATTTCTTTTTTCATTTATACATAGCTGCAACTATGAAGGTTGTTTTGTTTCATTTACGGTTTATGTTTCAGGGAGTCCTAATGGAGTGTCTGTAGGTGACATTTTCTCCTTCATTACTGGCGCTTCTACGATTCCAGTTGTTGGGCTAGAAGAGAACATTACTGTCAAATTCAACGATGAGAATCGCATCCCTTATGCTAGCACTTGATCACCAACTTTAACTATTCCTTACAAGTTTGAGAGCCAAAATAAATTTAATAAGGTAATGACATGCCGTATTGAGTTGAGCAGGTTTTGGCTGTGTGTAATTATTAACTTCGGAAAGTTGCATCATTTACTTTCATTTATAACTGAAATATAATGTCTCCCATTTTAGGCTTTCATTTCTCATCTTTTGTGTTATGTTTTATTCATTTACTCTCTTCTGTAACTATAATAATGATTATCACTTGATGATGCTTTTTTCAAACAATTATTCTTTTGATAAATTTGTTATGCTGCATGCATTTTCATTGAGTTGGTTTTGGTGGTTGATTGCTGTATAGAATTTAACACAAGATTTCAGTTACATTTGAAAAGAATCTTAATTCTGATGCCAGACTTCCAATGTATTCAACAACAAGAAAGTCAAAAGCTCAGAAATGTAGCTGTTAACTCAATAAAAATGGGATCTTTTGTTCAATTATTTATTCACACCATTGTACTGAATTTGTAAGATACCAATTTGTTACCTGATTTCGTTATTTTTATCTGATTTTTAGGCATACTTCATTTTGGGTGAAAAAACTTGGAGTTTTGAGGTTGAAACCTTCAGCCCTACACAAAATAAAGTATGCTTAAACCATGCTTCGCTGATTGAATCATCTTTGAATAGTTATTTCTCAAATTCAGTACAAGTGTAAGAATAGATAATTAAACATGATCTAGTGCTGCCACAGTTC